AGCCGTCCTGTACCGGGGCAGCTGCTCCCCCGAACACGTGTTGCTGGGGGGAGATGTCCCGCCGGTGCCGCTGAGGGGAGGACGCGGCCCTGGGTGCAGCGGGACGGGCCGCCGGGGTGAGGAGGGTTACAGGGAGCGTGTGTGCGGGGGGACAGGTTCTCGTGTTCCTCGGGATTCCTGGAGGGGCCTCTGTGGTCTCTAGTGCTCCTGTCTGGTGGTCGGGTCCTGAAACGGGGCCGATGCCTGACTTGTGTTCTCTCTGCTTTCACAGAAATTGCTCCCTTCCCTTTCAGCCTCTCTTGAGGACATCTTTACCCACTGGGAAAAGTAAGTCGAAGGAGGAAATAACTACCAAATAAATTCCAGACTGTGTTAACAACCAGGCTGCATGGCACGTGTGATCTTTATTTGCTGGAATTTCCCGTTGTCAGAGTATTTCCGATGATAACTGCGCTCAGCAGACTTTCCTCCTACCCTCTGGTTTCAGACCGATTTGTTTCAGATGTTAAAGATTACTTTGGTTTAAAATTCCCTGAGCTTGGAGCTAAGTTGTTACTCCAGTTTTGAGAAACTGATGCTGTTCTTGCCTGTTGAGGTTAATTCTGGTGTATTGTGGGGCTCAGAGTCACACTTTACTGGCAAAAAATATTTTCTCCAGTTGTGTTTCACTTTCTTTTTAAAGTCATGTGCTTTGCAGCAATATTGACCCAAGAACAGAGAATTTGAGCAGATGCTGCAATGTTAAGGCTCTTACAGGGACTTAAACCTTGGCGTAGATCATGTATCTTCTGACTCAGAGGAAGTCTCTTGGTTTCAGCCTGTCCTTTCAAGCCCTTACATGTTCAACCCAACGCCTTCCTGTGTAGTTACTCCACCGAGTACCTCACGTGGAGGTCTGCAGCATGGAGCCTTCCCATCTGTGGGGTGCAATGACATCTGCACCCACTCTGTGCACCGCTCGCTTTGGTTTGGCACTGGAGTGCAGCGCTGCAGAGAGGCCTGGTGGCAGCCGCAGAGCCAGGATATCGGGGAATCAGCGGAGCTGAGCTTCTGTGCCCATGTTGAGCGCTGGAGTGAAGATGCTCCTCAGGCTCGGGAAACGAGTGTTTGTTTCAAAAGTGCCTTCTGCTAGACTGCCTTATGCCCTGGCGATACCCCGGTTCTTGCTCTTGTGTCTCTGTGATGTTCTTGAGCAGGAGAAAGACTGGATCTAGGTGAGGATGTAGCAGTGTTAGGGAACAGGCTTGCGGTTCCTCCCCCTAACAATTTATTGCTCTCTTGAGTATTGCTGGTGACCTTTCTCTGTGCAAGTTATCCTGGGTGCTACAGCAAACCCTTCCAGACTCTATTACTTTTAAAGCTTGGGGGGGCGACAGGGCACTTGCATCAAGTTTCAATCCCTTTTTCTGTAGTGTCACCCTTCTGTTGTGGTCCCACCTCACAAGCACGCCTTTTATTCCTGGTCCCCTTGAGTTACACCTGGTTTGGAGTCACAATGAGGGATGTAGTGACCTATAGTTTTGTTAATCCAGAAAGCGCCCTGCCTAGCTGGAGTGCTATCACGTGGGTGAGCTGTGATTCTCATGTCTTGTCGCTTCTTAGGCTTTTGGGCTGAAAATGTCTTTCCTCTGACTGCGCTGTGGCTCTTAACCATGTACCTGAGGTCGTCCTTGGTGCTCTCCTTCAAAAACTCTTTCAAAGGAGTGCCTGGGCACTCATGACAAATTCTCACAGCAGTCTCTGTTGTGTTATCAGCTGCCACTGAATTGGGAAGGCATTGGAGTGTCGTAGCTGCCTGTGTGACGTGCCTTCTTATTTTATTAAAGGGATTATTACAGTAGTTCACAGCACTTTGTAATAGCAAATGTGCCTTTGGCCTAGCCTGATGGCAAAAACTTGGTGTTACAGCTACGCTACTGAAACGCTCGTAATAAGCACGGTCTTTACTGGCCAAATTTTTAAATTAGATGAACAAATAAAATAAGCTAAACTGGCAGAAAAGAGAGGGGGTTTTTTGCCTCTGGTGATTGTGAGTGTCTCAGGGCTTTTACCAACTTAGAAGTACTGCATGTGAGAATCAGAGACAGATGTGTGCCCAGCCAGCATTACCCTTGTAATAAAGCAAATGTATTACCTGTGTTTTCATTTGAAAATTAATGATAACTTTAGCCATATCAGTTCTGCTGGTACAGGTAGGGTTCAGAGCCTGGAAACATCTTTTGCCAGCTTTATGTTTTAACCCAATTGAACAGCTTAAGTGTTTAATGCTTGTGTGTGGCCTCTTCCTCCCCTTCTTTCAACACATCTTCTGTAGGTTCACCCACTTCCTTTCTTAAATCTCCCTGCAACCTGACTTTTCTGTCCTGTGAGCCCAAGTTCAAATGGCTTTTGCAGCCTTTAGATTCACTTCTCACAGCTTTGTGGGATACCAAGACCTGTTTGAGGATCACTGCCCTGACCCTGGGACTGCTTTTATTGACTGTCTTGCTATAGCTACTTCCCAGAGATGGAATTTCTTCTGTAGGATGCCTTTGCACTGTAGTGAGCACCAGCCCGAACATATATGTTTTTACTTCTCTGCTAAAGTGAGAAAGAGCCTGCCTAGAACACAGAAAAAGTGTCTGTGTGCACTGTCTCTGAGTATTACAAGGATATGTTGCTCTCAGGAGCTGCCTGAGAGGAGGGCTGGAGATGTTGTTTGCAGGGTAGAGGAGTATTTCTCCCACTCCCTTAGGAGCTGTAGAGGAATGGCACTGTGTGGCCTTAGGCTTGAGTCTAACCTGAGAGTGGATGAATAATTCCAATTTATTCAAGATATTTTTTCCCCATTTTGATGTAAATTCTGTTCCCTCAGAACTCCCTCGAATTCCAGGAGAAGAAAGGTGAGCGATGACGAGGCAGCCATTCCAGAAAAGATCAGAGTTCCTGATCCTGTGAGCAGCTCTGAGAGCTCAGAGAAAGAAGAGGATGAGAAAGAGAAGGCGAAAGCTGCAAACAGTAGGAGCCTTTCATCTCTCTGGCGTTGACAGAGTAGGACTGGAGGGTTGTGTAGGAGCAGCCTGATTTGTTTGGCTAGAGAAAATGATTGTAAAGTGGTGGCTATTCCCTTGTGCTCTTAGAAAAATAGGACAACTAATTTAGCACCCCCTTCTCATATGGATGAGGAGCTCAGATGTCTGCTGAAGCTAGAAAAAGCCTGTTATGATTCATTGGGAAGGGATGGGTGTTGTTGCCTGGATGAAGCCTTGGGAGCCTAACACTGCCTGCTGTGGAGCACCTTCTCGTTGGTCCCGGGAGTCTGTTGGGCCAGCAAAGGCTGCCTTGTTTCATGGATGAGGGAAGGACTTGTTAGTTGGTCTGGAAAGCCAGTGCCCTCTGTCTGAGGCAGAGATTGATCCCTGGTGCAGCTGATGTGGGAGGCGTTGGTTTGCATAGTCTAACAGAACTCCGTGTGTCTGATACGCTTTGGCTCAGTCTCATCTGCTGTAGACCAACCCTTGGAAACACAGATCTTGGCAGGTTCCTTGTCTTGGTGGTCAGGAGAAGGATGGGGTGGAGGAGCAAAGCACTTGTTTGTCGCACAGGTAGTGGCAGTGGTGTTGGGCGGGTGTGGAGATGGGACTCTGCCCTGCCTGCTGGGGCCTTCCTACAGACCAGAGACCATCTTGATGCGAGAGATGTGCTCACACGATTTCTCTGTGGCTCTTTCCTGTGCAGCAGCCAGCCTTTCCCTGGCCACCAACTCAGGAGTGAATGTAGAAAGCAGTGAAGATGATGACTCCTCGTCAGAAGAGGAGACACCAGCTGGAAAAAGCGCAGTCACGGTAAGGCAGTTCTTCTCTTGGCTTTGAAGACTGATCATACTCTGAGGCCAGGACTGTCCCAGACTCATTGGCATGCATAGAATCATGGGCTGGTGTGGAATTCATGTTTAAATGACCCTCCTGTGCTGACATAAGCCTTCTCTTACATGTCTGTCCCTCAAGTACTCCCCTAAAGAGCTCTATGGCTTGCCTGTCTGCCAGATTGCTGTTCAAGGTATATTGTGTCCAATTTAGCCCCTCATCCGTCTATAGGCTTCTGATTTCTTTTGTTTCCTGTAGGTGACACCAGCTGTGGTGAGTGGCAAAGCTGCCAACTCCCTGCATTCTCCTACCAAACCCGCTGCCCCAGCAGGCAAAGTGGCAGTGCTCTCTGCTGCGAACAGAACTGTGGTCTCAAATAAGCAGCAGCCGAACGCACCAGCTGCATCTGCAGGTCCGGCCAAGGCCGGGCAGAAACTGCCTGGTCCTGGGAAGCCTGGACATGCCGCAACAGCCGCGGCCAAAGTAGGTCAAAACAAAGCACCAGAAAGCTCCAGCAGCAGCAGCTCCTCATCAGAGAGCGAGGAGGAAAAAGAGGCGCTGACTGTGAAGACCTCGGCCCCCAAAGTGGGTAAGGAGCCTGCGGGGTGCGGTAAATGCATGTGTGCTCTAGCTTTGCTGCAAATCAGGTCTGAGCCGTGCCTTTAGTGTGTTCCTTTCAGCTCCCTCTCTGGAAAGCTCAGAGCGATGCTTGTTCCTTGGGGAGGCTGCGAGAATACTGTAAAGCAGCCAACTCCGGAGCTCTGTGGGATGAATCCAGCATGCTTGCTCCCATTTCAAGCAGCAGATTCTGTACTAAGATGTCTGTCTGGCAGCACCCAGCACTATGGGGTTGGAGATAACAGCGTAGCATATCTGGAGGAGATGCAGTACTAATACTGCAGATGCTTTCAGCTTTTTGGAAAGGCACTGCAGCATCTTCTCTTTGTTCCCAACTGCAAAGTGATTGTTTTGGGGTTTTGAAGTCTTTAGGGAAATCTTTTACTGCTTTGAAGTGTGTGTGTGTGTGTTGGGGGAGTGTGGAGTAGATCATAGAAGCTCTGAAAATGGTCCTTCTCTTGGCTGTTTTCCAGAGGAGGCCCAGCCAGGTTGGGTGCCCCTGCAGGGAGCTGTGTGTGCCTGGGCAGCTCCCTGTAGGGTCAGAGGGTCCCCAGGGAAGATTTCCCATCTCTGCCTGCACTCAGGGGAGTGGTGGTTGTGGGCCAATGTTCATCTGGAGAAGCTGTTCCCAGCAGGCCGCTGATGCTTTCAGCAGGGCTGGGCCCTCTTCCCTGAAAAATCCCCTTAGCCCTCTCTGTGGCTTGTTTTGTTTTTCTGACTTCAAAAGCCACATTAACATCATGCTCTGGGAGCTCGGAGCAGGCAGCAGCTGTGACATCTCCTTGCTTGTGTTTCAGAGCCGAAGCAGGCAGCTGGGGCTGCTGAAAGCAGCAGTGAGGAATCAAGTGATGAGACATCTTCTGATGAGGAGCTTGCAACTCCAGCAGTCCAGGTAACCTCTCCAACCCAGGGTCCTTATCTCTAGGAAATCACTTCCCTTCCCTTGAAGGAGAGGGGAAATGCTGCCATGCTGTAGTTGTGACTGTCACGACTGTACTCCCTTTCCTGGGTGTGTGGGATCGCCAAGTCCAAGGCCAGGGAAACATGCTGTGTGGCTGAGAGCCCCTCTAACCCCTGCCAGCATCAACCATTCCATCCCAGTTCCTGCTAGTGCTTGAAATTGAGGGAGATCCTTTGATCTTCAGGAGGTGATTTGGTGTGCAACTCTATGGATGTAGTCAGGCAGTGGGTACTGCCCAGCCTGTGGGTCTGAACAAGCTTATCCTTGGCAAAGTTAGCGAGGTAGCCTTCTTTAAAACTGATTCCATGCAGTTACAGCTCTCAGCGGGTTTCTTCTGAGATGTTACCTGATTCTCCTGTTCCCTTTTTTTTTTTTGTCCTGTTCCCAGGCAAAACCAGCTGTGAAAACAGTGCAGGCTAATGCAGCACCTGTGAAAAGTGCACCTGCTGCTCCAGTGGGCCTCAAGAAGAATGCGGTGAGGCAAACAGCACTGGCACCCAACCAGGCCAAACCTGCGTCCACAACGGTTCCTGGGGCTGCGAAGCCCGATGACACATCAGAGAGCAGCGACTCATCAGACAGCCAAGATGAGGAACCTCCATCAGTAACCCACGTGCGTCTGTCTGAAACTCTGTCTCTCCTTGCACACCTCTCCAGGGCTAGGAATTGCAGTGAAAAGAAAATTTCCTAAATGCATGTAGTGTATAGCAAAGTCATGTTGGGGGTGGGAGGACAGAGGCATGGGGTGTTTAAAGGCACCTCAATGTCTTAGCTCTGAGCTTTATAATCAAGCCATTGTGCCTTTCTTAAAAAAAAAAAAAATCCATCAGTACTTTTAAATAAAAAAACCCCAGTAATTCTTTTCCCACCTGGAGAGGCAAATTGTCATGGTTCAATTTGCCTCTCAGCTATAAATTACAATAAATAGTATCTAATTTGTCAAACTTCAGTGCAGCTTAGCTTCCCTGCTGTGGAGAGTGCAAAGTGCTGCAGTGTACCTCACTGGAGGGGACTGGTACTGTCAGCAGGGTGATGAAGAATGTCTGGTCTTGCTTTCTCATCTTGGGAGGCTATCCACACACAGCTAGATGAAAGGATGCCTTGTGTCCTGCCAGTTGATAATCTTCCTTCAGCATTTGCCTTTCCCAGAGGGCTCTGAAATCTCTTTCCTTGATTACAGCCTGAGCAACTGAATTATACTGCTTTGGGATTTGCCTTGTTTCACACTGTTCTTGTCTTGTCCAGACAAAGCCACCTTCAAAGTCCTCCCAGGCCATCCCGTCCCCAGTTAAACCTACACCAGCGGCATCGCTCTCCGGCAAAACAGCTCCAGCCAAAACTGTTCCACTGTCCCAAGGGAAGCCAGCACCAAAACCAGCAGTGCCAAAGCAGGCCAAAACGACGCTGGGAAGGACTGCTGCTCCCACAAAGCCTGCTGAAAATACGAAGCCAGTGGAGAGCTCTGACTCCTCAGGCAGTGAAGAAGAGGATCTCCCTGTGCCTGTCAGCCAGAAGGTAGGTGATGTCGCATTCAGCTCAGTGCCGGTGAATGGGATATGCAAGACAATTGTTTAGCCATTCATTGCGACTGTTTCACTCCTGTTATGCCTTGCCCCTCTGGAGTGGGCCTTGTGTGCTGGGTCACATATAGCTTGGTCTTGGCTCTCCTGTCAGGGTTTGTTTAGACCTCTCTTGAGAGAAGGACTGTGAACTCAGACTAGACTCAGACTTAGGTGGCTGAACTGGTAGGGAAGCAAATCCCTTCCTGAGAGCATTCTTAGGCACATTGTACAGAGACCTTGACTCTGAGCTGCAGGACCCTTCGGAAAGTGCCCTGAAAGCTGCATTTTGGAGATGGAAGCTATTATCCGCAAGGGAGGAAGGGAAGCTGGGGGCAGACCCTCACGTGTCCTTGCAGGGAGGCTCTTTGTCAACACGTCCTTTCACTATTGACAGGCAGGAGCTGGAGAGGCTCTGCATTTTTGTCTTTATAGCCTTGGTCTGCTGAGGTGGGTGGAGGGGGACGCATCTCTTAACAGTTGGCTCTGTGCTGCTCTCTTCCTGCGTGATTGTATGTGAAGATTCAGCTCTGGGTGGCAGGAGCAGCTATTCTAATAGCTGTGCCATGGGGTCCTGCTGTAAAACTATTGAGACTCGTCCATTCTAGCAGCGTTGTAGGTGAAGGACATGCTGGGGTGGGCTTGTTTCCCCCCAGTGCTGATTTGAAGCTGGCAGCAGCAGGTAGCCATCTTGCCGATGGCTGTTTAACCATTTCAGCATCCTCCCTCTTGCAAACTGGTGGTTGCCCCTCAACAGCCACAGTCAGCAAGGAAGAGCCTGTCATCGAGGGAGCTCTATTTTTGCCAAACAGGCTGTTTCTTCCCGTGTTAGTAGCCTACAGGCAGAGACCACGAGTGAAGCCTGAAGATAAACCATTAGGCTTAGCTGTGTCCACAGTCCTGTCCTCCCAGTCAAACTCTTCTTAGCTCATCCTCACCATCTGCTACTTGGGCATATGCTAACCACTGACTTACTGTATCCTGCAACTTCCTCTGGCTTCTGTGCAAGATCCAAACAGATACAGAGCGTTGGAAGCTGCTTCATCTTTCCCTCTGGGGGTGGATTAGCACAATTAAAATGAACATCATGCCTAAATTGAACTGCTTAATTGGTATGTTTACCCCTGAAGACTCAGGAATATTTAGTCAAAGAAGTTGACAAGGTTTTTGCAGATTTTTGGGGGGGGAGGATGGTGATGGGGGACAGTCTGGGTTGATCTTAAAGATGCTGTGAGCTGCTTTTCTCTTGGAACTGCTAATTCTGCTCTGCTGTCTCTTTCCTGGACGTTTTGGGCCAAAGATGACAATCGAGCCCTCTGTGGACAGGCTTTGCATTCAGCTTACCGGGAGTGGGCGTGAGATGTGCATGCATGCGTGTGTTGGGAACCTGGGTCTTCCTTCAGCATCCCAGGAAAACCCATGCAGGCTGCACGGGTAGAAGTTGTGCCTGCGAGTTTTTATCTTGGACCACAGGCCCTGTGAGGGGAGGCCAAATCTCCCAAGAGACGGAGGGTCTCTTTTTTTTTTTTCCCCAAACCATGTCCCCACTCCATTGCAGGTGACAGTTGTACCTTTGCTGTGTCGTGACACAGCCAAGATACTGGTCCCAGTCCTGATACGCTGGTGGTGCTTCCGCGGTGCACAGGCAGCAATGGAGTATGATTTGTTACAACGTGCTCAGCACACGTGGCTCCGTGTTGTTTCCCCCTCTTGTCATGCATCGCTGCATGATGCAAATGGACCCAGCGGAGTGGCAGATGGGTTGTGCGGGAGCTGAGTCATCACACTGTACTGAGCAGCAGGCAGCTCCTGGTTTGGGGGCTGGAGAGGGAGCAGGAAAAATTATTTCCTCTTGAATTATTTTCCTCCTCTCTGAGTTACTTCAGTACCTGTGACTCTTTAAGTTGTCAGAAGCTCTCTGCCTGTGTTACCCTGCTCCCTTGGTGTAACTCGGCCATGCTGCTGGCCTGACCCCACCTGGGGCCACGCCGTAGGACGTGGCAGCTGTCAGCCATCTGGCAGTGACCGAGATGAGGTGGATGGAGGGACCTTGGCCACCTCCCAGGAAGATCTGAGGAGTCCCGAGGCTGTGTAAAACTTACAGTGGTTTCTCTGTGGATGCTGTTACGTTCTTTCTGTGTCAGGATGCCTCTGTATGGCAGCTCTTTCCCAATCTCTTGCTAAGTTAGGAAACGAAGTGGCCCTTGTACTGTGCATCCAAGCAGGGGGAGAAGCCAGTCCCGTTGCTGTGAAGGTCTTAAAAGTGAGCGAGTGGGGTCTGATCTTGGAAGACTCTTCCCTTGCACAGCAGTGCTTGGCATGAGAGGGAGAGGAGCTAGCGCGTTCGAGTAGAGCTATGAATTCTTGTGTCTGCTTCAAGTAGTTCTCTCTCTTCAGCATTGCAAATCTGGCCTCTGTCCTGGAGATAGTGACTCAACTGGTATCAAAACAAAACAGACAAGTGAGGTTTGCAGTCCCCCCCCTCCCCAAGTGCTTGTGGAGGTTTCTGTTTCTCTAAGCAGAGTCAAAATGTGCTTGGCTTGTTCAGAGAGCTGTTCTGTAATGGGATAAACATGCAGATGCTGTTGTCTGTTTAGTGTTTGGCTTGAAGACGATAAACACTGCCCCAGTGGCAGCCCTCAGTGGGGCTATGCCAGGAAGTATGGTAAGATCTGTCCTCTGGGAGCCTGCTGGGCTGGTGCTCTCGGCTGCTGGCCAGGAGCAGCCCCCGCTGAGCTGGCGCTGCTGAAGTCCTCCTGGTCCTCAGCTGCGGGCTGAGAGGGTATCGCTGTGTTGGCAGCGTGGCAGGGCTGGGAGAGGGGGGTGGCAGGGGCTGTGCAGCCAGGCGGGAGTCTCTCTCACCTTGCAGGAGGCCTGGAGACTGAAGCAGGCTGCCATCACGTGCAGGTTGGATGGGGTCTGCCTGCCCTGGCAAGCGTGATGTACTCTTTGGCAGAGCAGCCCGGAGATGAGCGATGAGTGGAGTAAACTGAGTGGGCGCAGAGCACTGCAAGCCTGGAGAATATCTGCAGGTGGTGAAGTTACCAGATCTCTCAGTGAGCGCTCCCTCTCCCTCTGCCAGCGCTAGCCTTCAGCAGTGTGCAGGAGGGGTGTCTGCAGCCCTCAGCCCAGGCTGGGAAGAGATCATCTCACCTGGCAGTTGCGTATCTGGTGCTGCGATAACTGTGACTTCCTAGTGCTGACACACGGGCTGCTTGGGGCAGTGGCTCGTGGCCTGTCCTGGGACATCAGGGTGTTGACAGATGCTGTAGAAAAGCACAGCCTGAGTGAGTTCCAGGCTTTTTTTGCTCTCTGCAGATTTCTAAATTCTTAGGCCTGTTAACAGATGAGTATCCAAGGTGCTCAATCATTGGGTCCCAGTCTGTCTCTGTGTTCCCAAATGCTTCTGTCAGCCCTGTGTCTATGCTGACCTCTCTAGCAGCTCTAGGATGTAGCTGCTCTGATGCTGTCTCTGAACCTTGCCCGTGTTTTGGCACAAGGCTTCCCAGCTCCTATTGATTCCACCAAGCTGGGGGGAGGTCTTGCTTAAATGAGAAGCTTCCTTGGAATGGATGTCTCTGGGTTGTGGTGCTTCTCCTGCCCTCAGGCTCCTGTCCAGCCAGTGTCTCAGCCTCCCTAAGGAATTGCTGTTCTGAGCACTCTTAGCCCTGCATGCTCGTGAGGTAAAACACGCTCGGGCTTCCTGTCAAAAGCATATTGCTGGATGCAGCGGTATGTCTCCAGCAGCTCAGTCCAGACAGTGAGTGAAGCCCCTTTCAATCTCGACATGCCAAGGATAGAGTGAGTGTTAGTAACAGCTGTGTTAGGGTAAAACAAAACCCAGCTTGAGCTGAAACTGCATTTAAACTCCTAAACAACACCTGTACTAATACCACATTTCTGGGCTTGTGTTTCTTTTTTGTTAAGAGATTAACAGAACAGCCTGGGCATGTTCCCAACCTGAGCCAAGCTGCTAGAGCTGGGTTGCCTGAAAAAGCAGTGGGAAGCACCTTGAAAAGCCAGGCCTCAGAAAGTGGGAGCAGTGACTCGTCTGACAGTGAAGAAGAGTCCCCTGCAGCACAGACACAGCCTCCGCAAGCTGGTAAGTCTGGTAGTGGCTAGGATCCCTCACCTGCATCCTCATGGGTTTCCTTCTGTCCCACGGAACAGCCCAGCCTATTGTGATAGCTCCTGCCTTGGAGAGCAGCTCTTTGTCGTGGTGACAATCTCCTATGCTTTTCCTGCAGTGAAGACCAATGCCGCGCCCCAGCCGACCAACGTGAAGAAGGCACCGGCTCCAGCGCCAGCCCCTCCACCTGTGGGCAGCAGCGATGATTCCAGCGAGGAGTCGGATTCAGAGGAAGAAATAGTCCCCCCTTCGCAGGTAAGGAGCCACTGACCCGCTGGATGTGGATGTTGTTAGCCCTGTGTACTCGGGAGGTCTCAGGACCTTGGGAGGTGGTAGTTAGGTGGGTGATGAGCGCTGCAGAGAGGAGCCCTCCTGTTGGCTGGGTCAGGTTTTCTTGGCAGCATTGCTGGGTCTTGCTGACTCTGGCTCTGGGTGCACATCTTGGCTGCAGCAAGCTTGCAGTGTGTGAGAGCAGTGGAAGGTGTGAATGTTTTGACAGGAACATGAGTAGATGCACGAGCCCAGACCTCCTCTGGGACTCTGTCCCCTTTGACCTACTCCAGGGAGTTAGAATGGAAAAGCAGCCAGTTCCTTGCAGACAGTGTCTTTCCATGAGCTGGGTAGCTCCAAGGCAACCCGCCCCCTCTTTCCTCCCAAACCCTGGGTGTAGGGTGCAGTTGGAGCTCTCTGGATTCCCCCTCCACAAGCCTTGGGAGGCTGGAAGGATCTGCCCTGAAGGGTAGCACGATGGTCCTGCTGCTTTTCAGCTGGACGAGCCAGACCCCTGCCTTGGAGGAGGGAGGTGACCCCCATATTTGTGCAGAGACACCGCTGAGTGTCGTGGAGCTGATCCCAACTCTGACCTGAGTCTCTTCATGTCACGTCTCTTTGTGCCTCCGTGCCTGAGCTCCCTGGGTCCTGAGCTGCCTTGGTAGGAAGCTGGCTTGGGCGTCTCTGTACCTCTGCTGCAGCCTGAGAAGGAAACCGCAGGAAGAAGCCTTGTGGCTGCTGTTCCTGCATGGTGGTGGCTTGGCTGATGCTCTGAGCCCAGGGCTAAGTGGCCAAGTGCATTTCTTGTCCTGCACGTGTGTGTCCCCTGTCTGGCCAGTGCTCTTGCAGGGAGAGGGGGATAATGTACACTCAAGGAAACCCTTCCCCATGTTGGCCTGATGCTGTGGCCAGTGGAAAGGCTGTCTCCCCTCCAGCTGGTGGGCAGGCAGCCAGCCTGAGCAATCCTCGATTAAAGCGTGTTTATAGTACCAAGATTGTATAAAATAACGCAGTTGCTGTAACTTGAGCTTTGTGCAAGACGGCTGAGAGCTCACGTCGGATTGGCGGCTCTGCGTGGTGGAGCGTTGCCTTCTTTTCTGAAGGCCAGATGTTGTGTGAGGGAAATGTCAGCCCACAAAGGCCCAGCTTGTCAGAGATCTGGAGAGGGAGGGCTGCTCACGTAGCCTTGTTTGTAATACAAACCAGGAGGCTGAGTGCTCCTTCATCGCTCCTGTTCCCTCCTCTGCTGGCAGTTGTGCCTTGGACTTGATGTCAGTGTCTGATTTCCATGCCCCTGGCTCTTCTATTTTTAACCCCTCTTACGTTCAGTTTGACAGGAGGTTTCAAATGTGAGGCAACAGAATTGCTTCTTGTTAATTTGCTCCCTAATCTGGGGCTCACTTGTGGACCTGAAGGCAGATTTGCCCTGTGGTTGATGTCTTTGCTTTATCTCTGTTGCCAGTTAACTCTTGATGTGTGATTTTTAGAGCGTAGGACCCATCCTGGAGTCCAAGTGCCCACTTTGCAAAGTAGGATTTGCAACTGCAGTCTTGCTGGTACTGCAGTGGATAGGCATCTCGGAGCCTGCAAGCACATCACATTTTGTCTGCCTGCCCTCAGGATGGGTGCCTTTGGGGCACCGAGCTAATGCTTTAGGCACTCCCAGGATGCTGGCCCTTACTTCTCTGCTCCTGGCTATGCCATAGGCCCTGCTCTGAGGCTCTTAGGAGACAGTGCTGGCCTGTAAAGGGAGGAAAAAAAATAAATATGAGCCTTGGTGCTGTGCTGAAAATGGTGGAAGGGCTCAGGAGTTAGTGGTGGATTGGTGTACGCTTCTCTCTTTTTTTTTTTTTTTTTTTTCCCCTCCAAGTTGTGCTCTGTCCTGATTTTCTTTCTAATCTATTTTAGAGTCTGTCCCAGCAGAACATCAAAGCAACCAAGGTTTCAAGCGCAGTGGCTGCCAAAGCTAATGCCACGCTGCCTTTGGGGAAGGGGATAAAGGCGCCTGCTGTCCCTCCAGTTAACAGAGTGTCTGAGAGTTCGAGTAGCGATTCCTCAGAGCATGACGTACTGGCGGGAGAGGTAATGACGGAGGAGACTGAAGTGAGGAGCTTCCCTGGGGAGAGTGGGCAGATGGGTGTGCTGGAGTCTGAGACTGCTGCAGTGTCTCCAGCTGAGGGAGCGTGTTCGTGGAGGGGGAGAGAGAGGGGCTGCTCTATTTTAACCGCTGTTATTGCACCATAAGGTGAGGCAGATGAGCAGAGGGGGTAGCCCTGGTACCTTTGCTGTTTCTGCCTCCCAGCTGGCTGGCAGGTTTCTTCCTCCTTTTGTGACAGTAGTGTGCTGTACAGTCAGGAGTTGTCTGCTTAGCCACGGCTGCCTGCTTCATCTGTGGGCCAGGGGGAGCTGGGGGGCTCTGCACTGTGCATGAGAGGTTCTCGGGATAATCTTGACACGAACTGGAGCAGAATGGCCGAAGAAGGGCTGAGGTGGTGCAAGCCTTTCTGCTTTGGGCTGCTTCTTATAGTTCATGGGTATAAGCAGTTATTCCTCCTTCCAGATGCATTTCATCTTCCTCTCCCTAGGATCCCCCTCCTACTTGCCTAAAGCAAACGGTTCCTGTGGGAAAAGTTCCTCCAGCCAACACTGCTGCTCCACAGACTGCTTCACTCCTGGGAAGTCCCACCACCAAACTGAGGAAGCCAGGCCCACAGCCAGCGCAGGACGCCCGGCTGAGCCAGGCTGTGCCGCCCGCCCAGGCAGAGGAGACCTCGGACAGTAGCAGTTCCTCAGACAGTGATGAGGAGGAGACACCCAAGCAGCCCCCCAAACCTGGTCAGTTCTCCCAAGAAAATGCTCTCGGTGCTGCCAGCCAGGCCAGGGTGGGGACAGCGTTTTGTTATCCCGTGAGAGGTGTCACCTTCACGTTGTGGTTGGAGAGGGGTTCCTCCTCTCCAGCTGGGCAGAGTGCTCCCCTTTCTTTGGAGACAGAATGCCCTTTGGCAGTAGCTGTGCTGGATAGGTGAGCTCAGCCCCAGGTGGCAATGGTGGGTTTAATGGGATGAACTCTGCTTCTCCAGCAGGCTCACTGCAGAAACCAGGAGGGACCCAGCCGGCCCACAGCTCCTCAGAGTCCAGTGAGGAGGAGGAGGCAGCGTCGCAGGTATGGTACCTGAGCAGGCTGGGATCCTCTCGGGTCTTGCAGCTGGCACATAAGTAGGACTCAATTCTCAGCCGTGGCAAATGGGGTGCTGAGTGGGTTTGCCAGCACAGAAGTGGGGGCTCCCCAGTGCAGTGCTGTGAGCAGAGCCTTTTGGTGGGGGCAGAATGCTTCCCCAGGCAGCCAGACCTTGGGTCCAGGGCTCACAGTGCCTTCCCGGGGGAAGGGATGGGAGGAGGTGGTGCCTTGCAAGGGTTAAACCAGGAGAAGTGGTACACAGTGCCAATAGCAGCAGGATTTTTTTCCCCGTTTTTATTTGTAACTTTACCCGTGTCCAAGCCATTAAATTCCCTTTGTAAGTAACGTGCAGGGCGTGCAGCACATCTGCGGTGCATTAGCTGTGCGTGGGTGCATGCTAATGGCCAAGAGCCTCCCCCAAGCCTGCTTTACTGGGCAAGAACAAAGAGGAGACCCTCTCCCCATCAGCTCTTGCTGCTGTAAGCTCAGCCAGCAACTGTCAGTGCTGGCACCCTCTCCTGGCAGCCCTAGCCTCTACAGGGCTGGCTGAACCATGCAGGATCGTTCCATGGGTGGCCAAAGGTGGGTCCTTCACTTGGAGTATGCGGGCATTAGCAGCGGAGACAGATCTACGTGTCTGGTGTGTGGGAGGCTGCCCTGCTGTGACGCCTCGTGTGTCTGTGTTGTTTCAGTCCCTCCTCACAGGCTATCTGGGCCTCTCCAGGACCCCAGCAGCACCCCAGGCACCAAAGACAGTTCCCCCTCAGCCTGTAGGCAAAGCAGGGCAAGGAAAAGCAGCCGTGACTGCTGCAAACTCCCTCACCAAAGCCCCCGTGAAGGCAGCCCCGGCTGACAGCTCCAGCAGCGACAGCAGTGACTCAGACACGGACGTCGACCAGGTGGCTGCAAACCACAAAGCAGGTGGGTCTCCTGCGGCGAGGTCCGGAATCCGCTTGGCCTGGGAGCAAAGCTGTGCTGGCATGGGAGGGTGACGCTGGGATGGGGCCCTCTTCCCAGCACGTCTCCACCGCAGAGCCCAGCAGCGTGGAGTGCTGCTGCCGTCTGCTGGCTTCCCCTGGCCACAACACAGCCCACTTCTTGAACGTCCCTCCTGCGCTGGCTGGCTGGTGAGGCGCTCTGCCTTTGCCTCTTCCAAATTCTGCTTTAACTGCAATAATTAATGGAATTAATGGGAGCAGGTAGGGCTCTCCCTGAAACCTATGCACGCTGCATTGGTGTGCTGTGGTAGTGATGGCTTCTACAGAAGATTTAAACACTGGCTGAAGAACATCTGATATTCAAGCCTCCCCTTGGTCTTTTTGGGCTCTGTAGCATGTTTGGAGGGCAGAGGAGGGGAAGCAAGTGGGGAGACCTATAGAGAAATGAAATGTCCTGCCATTCCTCTATTGCCCTGGTTTGTTGGCAAATTGTAAAACTCAAAGCTGGTCTGGCTGTGAGCTCTGGCCCACTCTGGAGGCTCAGATGGGTCTGTTGGCCCCTCAGGCACATTGTTCAGTTGTGCAAAGGTCAGAACTATATATAAGTTCAAGAAGGCCCAGGTGCTGGAGGAGAGGCCACTGGTGATGGTTAAGCGGGGTGGCCTGGATACCCCCTCCACCTTGGGAAGTCTCTGGCTTACAGGGGTGGTGTCCTGGGGAAGGACTGCTCTACCTATGCTCACCCATCCTGTGCTA